ATTGGAAGCACTTGGGGATGCGGACTTTTCCCTTAAGAGTTTCCTTGAGCTATTCCCACAGATTCTGATACATAGTATTTTCTAGGTCATTATTCTCTAGATTATTGGCAATTTTTCCTTCAGCTTTCTTTAAAGCTAAGGATTTTTCCAAATATTTAAAAGTGTTTTTCTTTTCTTCTTTATTCTTTTACCCTTTTTTGCTTTTCCTTCCTTCCTTCCTTCCTTCCTTCCTTCCTTCCTTCCTTCCTTCCTTCCTTCCTTCCTTCCTTCCTTCCTTCTCTCTCTTTCCTCCTCCCTCCCTCTCTCTGTCTGCACAGTTCTACTTCTGTCTTCATAGACTTTTCTGTTCAGCTAGCTTTCAATCACAATCCTTGGATCTCAGCCTTCTGAGTAGCTAGGATTTCAAGCATGAACCACCAGAATCTGGCTAAAAGTGTTTTAGAGATGGTAGAATTTTTGTTTCAGTGTTCTGATTTTGATATTAGCTTGATTCCTATTGCATTATAAATAAAATTTGCACTGTGTATAGTTTTTTTTAATGTTTTAAGTTTTCTTTATAGTGTAGCAAACAATTACTGAGATTTTTTTTACCATAACCCTTATTTTACATAATTTTATCAGTTGAATCATATAAAATAAATTCAAATATAATATATGTATGCATAATGTGTATATATGTATACTTTGGGACCAATATAATATTATATCTTAAAAATGGAATTTAATGCTAAATATAAGTTTAAAACCATGAGCTATTGGAGATCAAAGGGCATTTAGAATGTGTGGAGTATGAATATGAATTTGTATGGGTCCTAGAATAGTATGACCTTTGAGTCAGGCTGAGACAAAAGGGTATCTACATACTATTTCCTCATAGTTTGAATTCCTTTTTTCCTCCAAGGAATAGGCTAACAAAAAAATCTGGACTGTACCACCCTAGCCAGGTGCTGTGCCAAACCGCCTTCAAAAAGTGAGAGTACATTAAATGGTTTTTAACTGGGCCAAGGAAAAGTAAAGGTGAAATGAAATTTTATTTCTTCTGGCCTTTTGCTCAAAATGTTTTTTTTTTTTCTATTTTTGTTATAAAGGACCGGTTTTAATTAATTAGAGTCTCATTATCTGGCCATACATCTGTAATCTGTGTTCACACTTTGGGAGAGAAAAATTCGATGAAAGAAATTGGACAGTAATGGAAATCTTGTCTGAGCTTATTATGTCCTGGATCCAAAAGAGACTCCAAGACACCCAGTTAAAGGAGCTGGGGACTTTATTATAGCCGCATGAGGTTCCCTTCCTACTACCAGGAAGCCTTTGCTTGGGGTTTTTCTTTAACAAAAGGTTTTGCCCTTTAGCAATAATTTTGTTCTGTTTTTGGATCTCACATTTTTGTTCTCATGGATTTTCTTCTTTTCCAAGGGAATGGGGGCTCAGGGGGGAGAGTAAATTTCCAACAGCAGGAGGGACTGAGGCCAGACAATAGAAGGAAATTTCTGCCAGTGAATAGCAACTCAGACATTACAAGCCAGACAAATTGAGATTGTCAAATATTTTTTGGATGACTAGCATGTGCAGCCAAGAGAGGAGAAGCATCTGGGCTGGTGACAAAATCTACTGCTCGTGTTCCACCCGGCACAGTCTCACAAGGAGCTAGCATCATAGTATGGAAATGCAAATGCAAACTAGAATTAAGACTCCTGCCTCTTGACCATTCTAGCCAGTCACTAAATCCCCAGCCTTCTAATTCCTTATCTGTAAAATGGAGGCGAGAATATTCCATTTGTTGCCTTGTGATGGGACAAATGCATTACATCAATATGCACCATGTGGGCTCAGAGAAAGACTAAGAAGAGAATGACAAAGACTTCAGTCCTCTGTGGCTGGGCTGAGAGATTTTTAGGAGGAATCTAGCTTTATTACAGCTTTGGAAAGAAAGAAGTAGGCAGGACAGGTGTGTTTGTGTGTGTGTGTGTGTGTGTGAGAGAGAGAGAGAGAGAGAGAGAGAGAGAGAGAGACAGAGACAGAGACAGAGACAGAGACAGAGACAGAGACAGAGACAGACAGAGACAGAGAGACAGAGACAGAGACAGAGAGAGACAGAGAGACAGAGAGAGAGAGTAAAACAAACAATGTTCAGCTTTTGCAAAGAAGCCCTTTCAAAACTTGAATCTGGAGGTAAGGAAAGCCTGAAGAGTCCAGACTTGCCTGCTCATGTAACTGAGAGAAGGTAGAAGATCATCAAGCATGACATGCAGATTAAAAAGATCTGTTTCTTTGCTAGCAAAGGTGAAATAACACACACACACACATAGGCCTAGGGAAGAGGAGAACTCTTTCAAAATGTAGTACTTAGGGTGCTATGGAGACCTGGAAGAGATGGAGAAAATCCAGTCTTTGACTTTGAAGCTTGTAATTTAACCAGTAACAAGGCAGGAGATGGGGAAAGGGGGAGGGAGAAGGGAGTAAAGGAGGTAAGAAGGGAGGAGGAGAGAGAAGTTAACCCTATAGGCAAATATGAAGCCAATTGTAGAGATGTGGTGGACCTAACTCAACCCTCCCAACCCCACTAATTCTCTCCCCAATTCCCCCCTCCATTTCTTATCAAGCACTGTTGCCTCCTCCTTTGTTTCCCCTTCCCATCCCTTCCCATCCTCCCCTCCGCCTCCCCCCCCCCCATCCAAGATAATGTTGAAATGAACTAATCCCTTTGTTCATCAGGTCTTAGATCGATGGGTCTGTTCAGAAAACACAGTCCCATATTTCTATGTACAACACTCAGGACACATTTCCTGAGCACCTAGTATGTTCCTGAGTGCCCTCCTGTTGAGGGTTAGGAATGTGGCCTCAGGAGTTGGAAATATTTGGGCTAATTTGAATCTCTCTCTCAATTTTTAAATGATAATGATGATATTGATGATGATGATGATTTTGGCTGTATTGGGGTTTGAACTCAGGGCCTTGCACTCATTCATTTACTTTGCTTTAGCTTATTTTTAGATAGAGTCTTGGACCACAGTTTTTCCACCTTTGTCTTGTGCACTGCTGGGATTGCAAGTGTGTGCCACTACCCCCTGCCTTATTTTTTAAAAAATTGTGTATATTTGAATTGTACAATATAGTTTTTGACACACACATACATCAGAACATAATTACAGTCAAGCAAATTAAATGTCACCTTCAGAGTGAAGTGTGTGTGTATGTGTGATATAACTAAAATCTACTCTTGACAAAGTTTCAGGGTAAATTAAACATTAACTGAGATGCTCTTGCTGTTAATTAGATCTCTAGGTTTGTTCATCTTGCACAATGGCAACTTCCTACCCTGTGACCTGCATTCCCACCCACACCACCGTTGGAAATCGTGTTTTCCTGACCTTTGTTTCTGTGTATTTGACTTTAAAAAATTGCATATATAAAGCTGGGTGCTGGCTCATGCCTAAAATCGTAGCTACTCAAGAGAATGTGAAGTGAGGATCAAGGTTTGAAGCCCAGCCCTGGAAGGAGAGTCCATAAGACTCTTCTCTCCAATTCAAGTTGGTGAATAGCCTGAAGGGGAGGTGTGGCTGACAGCCCTTGTTCAAGTGGTAGAGCACCAGCTTTGAGCAAAAAGGCTAAGGGAAAACATCCAGTCCCCAAGTTCGAGTCCAAGTGTTGGTGGATACAGACAGACACACAAGATGACCTATGTAACCGTCTTTATTCACATTATTATGTCTTCTGGACAACCTGGTTCCTTTGTCTTCAAAACGATTCCAACTTAATGGTGGCTATGATTAGTTAAGGACATTGCCAATATAGGGCTATTTATCTACCAACATCTATCTGTCTGTCTATCTATCTGTCTGTCTATCTATCTATCTATCTATCTATCTATCTATCTATCTATCTATCTATCTATCTATCTATCTATCTATCTATCTATCTATCTATCTGTCCGTCTATCTATCTATCTAATGTAATGTGTATATAATATTATCTGGATCTAGAACCCCCTCTTCCTTCCCTTCCTAGGGAAAAAGTCACAATCTCCAGCGCTGTTTCTCTATACAGTGGCGCCCTCAGCCGGGCAGCTGCCCTGGCGGTTGGGGGAGCCAGCAGCGTGCTCCCCTGCCGACCCCGGGCATCCTGGGTGGCTGGCGCCATCCTCATCCATATTCATGTCTCCAATTAAAGACTCCCCACCGCGGCAGCCAATGCAGCCGAGGGGAACCCAGCGGCGGGGACTGCATGCTCGCTCGCTGGCCCGGTGGCTCCCTAGGCGAGGCGGCGCCTAGCGCACCCTTCGGAGATTATGGTCAAAGTCGGGCTTTTCTGTGAACCCCCTTTGCCTAATCGGGGCCCAGGTCCCTGGGTTAGCGTCTGCACCGTTCCTCCCCGGTGGGAGCTGGAAGGCGGCGTGTCCTGCCTGGCGTAGGGCGCGCCTCGTGCTCACGATGCAGACGCAGGGCTTGGGGTGGGGACGGGGGGCTAGGGGGGTCCTTCACATGGCCCAGGCCCGCGGCCCAGGCGAAGGTGGAGGGCACCAGGCCGGGCCACCCCTAACCTTTACTTGGCAAGGCCTGGAACAGCTGCAGGAGAAGGGGCGGGGCGGGCGAGAGGGGAAGTTGTCCTGTTCCAAGCCCAGCTTTCCCGGGCGCCTGTCCTGGGGGGGGGGATGCGCGGCGGGGCTGACCCCCGCGGCTGGTGCGCTTGCTTGGCGGGGGCCGTTTGGAGGCGGCGGGAAGGTGCGGCCGTAGGTCTCCGGGAGCCCATAACTCGGAGTTGAGTCAGCCTCCGCCCGCCTGGCTAAATCTGCAGGCCAGGCCACTGAGCCCGGTCTGCTGAGGTTAATGATTGATCACTGGCTAACCTCACCCCTCCCCGCAGGATCAGAGAGGGTGGGGCCGGGGCCACCCGTGCCAGGTGCTAGAAGCAGAGCGGCGTGTGGCCAGGCAAAGTGCGCACCGGGGAGAAAGGGCGCGCGGGTCTCCCTCGGGGCTCCTCTCCCCCACCCCACGAGCCTTCTAAAAGCACACACCCCCAGGCGCCTCCGCCTCTCCCAGGCTGGGCTACTTCAGGAAGTTTTCGCGAAAGCTCTGAAATAACAAAAGGTCAGCGTTGCCCAGCGAGCTCCAGGGAGACAAAGTCTCGCGCCCACCGCAGTGAGTTGCAGCCCAGAACTTTGGAGTCACAAGGGGGAAGTTGAGGAGACTTTGGATCTGGTGGCCTGTGGTTCTTCTGCTCATGGCTTCACCCCGTGGCAGCAGCAAAGATTGCTCCAATGTCATCGATCACAGCCACGTCCCCGAGTTTGAGGTGGCCACCTGGATCAAAATCACCCTCTTCCTGGTGTACCTGGTCATCTTTGTGGCGGGCATCGTGGGCAACAGTATCACCATTCGGGTTACCCAGGTGCTGCAGAAGAAGGGGTACCTGCAGAAGGAGGTGACGGATCACATGGTGAGTCTGGCTTGCTCCGACATCCTGGTCTTCCTCATTGGCATGCCCGTGGAGTTCTACAGCATCATCTGGAACCCCCTGACGACCCCCAGCTATGCGGTGACCTGCAAGCTCCACACTTTCCTCTTCGAAGCCTGCAGCTATGCCACTCTGCTGCACGTGCTGACGCTCAGCTTTGAGCGCTACATTGCCATCTGTCACCCCTTCAGGTATAAGGCCCTGTCTGGGCCCTGCCAGGTGAAACTGCTGATTGCTTTTGTCTGGGTTGCTTCCATCCTGGTGGCCTTGCCCTTGCTTTTTGCCATGGGTGTTGAGTACCCGCTGGTGAACCTGCCCAGTCAAAACGGTTTCACTTGCAACCGCTCGCGCACCCGCCACCAGGAGCAGCCCGAGTCTTCCAACATGTCCATCTGCACCAATCTCTCCAGCCGCTGGACCGTGTTCCAGTCCAGCATCTTCGGTGCTTTCGCCGTCTATCTCTTGGTGCTGGTCTCTGTGGCCTTCATGTGCTGGAACATGTTGAAAGTACTCACGAGGAGCAAGAAGGGCACACTGGCCAAGAATGGCCAGCAGCTGCAGCTGCGCAAGTCAGAGAGCGAGGAGAGCCGCACAGCCCGGAGACAGACCATCATCTTCCTGAGTGAGTCAGGGTGGAGGGTGATCTGGGAGAGTCTCCCCACGCCCTCACCTGAGCCACTTCCTGCGGTCCTCTTTGCCGGAAGTCCTGCCCTAGAAGTGTCAATGTAGTTCACCCAGGTTGCAGAGTTATATTGGGTTAAGGGCATTGATCTGGGTCTGTGGATGTTCCTTCTGTGTTTGTGGTGATGGTGAAAAGAGCCCTTGACTGGGAATCAGAGACCTAGAGCACCATTTCTGTGACCTCTTGGGGTGTGTGTATTGTGTGTGTGTGTGGGGGGGGCAATGATACTAAGAGGAGCAAATTAGGTAATGCAGGGTAGGTGAAAGTCCCTTGGAAAAGGACACACTCTGCAGAGATAAGTAGAACACTCTTATCGCACCCTGTTTTTATCCTGGAGAACCTTTCTCAGGCCATTAGATTGAATCCCATTTTCTCTTCCTTGGAGAAACCAAGGAGTTATTTTGTATCGTGGAGTGGTAACTGAATAAAAGAGGTAACATGGTGCTGACTGTGAGTGAGGTGGGAGCTGAAATTATAAATTATAATGAAATTATAATTATTCCCTGTCTCCCCACCCCCTCTATGGGGTCCAGAGTAGAAGTAAATCTTGGAGCTGTTTGTTTTGGTGCTGGGGAAACCTGAGAAACTGGTTCCAAGGAAAGGAGCCAGGCAGGGAGTCCTATTGGAAAGCACTTAGGTCTTGGATCTGTCTTGCTTCTGGCTTCTCAAGAGTCAGGGAGCAGTTGATTTTATTTTACTCAGAGTCTATGCAAAAGGAAAAAGGCTTACAATGTTTGGATGCTTATTCCGCATCAGGGGCTGTACTGGATGATTTATCTTTCCATGTTATAGATGAGACATTTGAAGCTTAAGATCAAAATCTCTTTCCCGTGCAGCTCCAAGATGGTCAACTGGCAGTGAGTGCCTGGCAGTGATTTTCCCAGGCCTGTGGTGCAGGGAAAATGAAATAAAGCAGGGCTGTGGCAAGGTAGGAGCTACTTAGATTTGCCTTCTGGTGTTGCCTTGACCCAGGCCCTCTGTCACTGGAAGTCACTAGTAGAGCCACTAGAAGAAACACCATCTGGGGATGTGGGAAAGGCACTGAACCCACCTCAGTCTCTATTGCCCACTAGCTAGCTGCTGCCCAAACATCCCAGGAAACAAATGCACAAGCTTAAAGTTTGATCATTTATTGAAGGGCCAGTTCCCCTTTCTTTCCTACCCTACTAGGCATTTCTTTCTTTCTTTTCTTTTCTTTTTTTTTTTTAGTCGGTCGTGGGGCTTGAACTCTGGGCTTGGGCGCTGTCCCTGAGCTCTTCAGTGCAAGGCTAGCACTCTACCATTTGAGCCACAGCACCACTTCCAGTTTTCCAGTGGTTTATTGGAAATAAGAGTCTCTCGGACTTTCCTGCCCAGGCTGGCTTTGAACTGAGATCCTCAGATCTCAGCCTCCTGAGTAGCTAGGATTACAGGCGTGAGCCTCCGGCGCCAGGCTTAGTTAGGCATTTCTTATATTAATCTGAGAGCCACAATTTATACTTTGCTTTTTCCTTTTTGAGTGCAGGCTGGGTATTGGCCTGAGTACATAAGAATAGGGAGTAGACAAGGATCACAAAGTGGCCTTCATTTATCTGTAGTCTAATTTAGGAATATTGGGCTTCATTGACCAAAGGAAAAGTCACTGAGTTAATCTTAGCTCTCTAGATGACCAATCTCTATGTTTTTTTTTTTTTTGTATGTCTGAGTAGGTATCTGTTCTTTCCGCAGTGGGTATTCCAAGTTAAAGGCCGTCTCTGGTAGCATAAAAATCTACCCCAGACTTACTTAGAGATGGATAGGACTTTGAAGATGGTCTCATCCGGTTAGTAATTGCCTGCAGTGAGTTTGTTGTCACTGCTGCTCTCCTTTCCCTGGTAGCTACTTTCCCTGTCCTTATAACAACTATCTATCAATCACCCACTGTGCTCCCAGCATAAAGATTGTTGAATGGCAATCAGGTGCTCAATGTGTAATAATGTCTTGAGGAAATTTACCATTTGTATTTAGTCCATTTCCTCTGCAGTAGGTTTTCCCAGCAGTTCTTTGCAAACTCCTCTCTCAATGAATTTCAAAGAGCTTTTAAAAACAGGAACCTCACTAATTAACTCAAGTTAAGAAATAAATTAATGGAGTGAAGAGTTGGAAATCATGACCACATCCATCAGATTAATACAATGCAATTTACTTTGTGGGTTTCACAAAATTTGTGCTTTGGGGCATTTTTAACCTAGAACAAATGAACATATAAATTGTTTACAAATCGCTGAATTTAATGTAGTGATTTAGCTGTCTTTTTAGTATTTCATTTAACAGATGGATCCAATTAAAATAAATATTTGCTCCTTTCTAACATATTTTGAATTTAATGTGAAATGTAAATGACAACATAGCACAAGAAGGCTTTGGAACTCTTGAAGCAATAATTAAAAAAAAAAAAAAGAATCCCTGCCATTGTTAAAAATTCTGACTTCTGCATAATGGAAGCAAGATTCATAAGTCTATCTTAGATGCAGAAGCCCAGGTAGAAAAATATTCATTCTGCTATTTTTGCATCTTTTGCTATTGAGTCTCAGTGAAATTTAGGAGCTGGGCTGGTTAATAATGAAAACAAATTGGGAGCTTGGGGAGAGAAAAATGCTGAGACACATACCAGGTTTCACGTAATTTGCAAGAGGTACAATCACAAGGCAAAGTATGGATTCCTGGACATTTGGCTGTCTCTCCTTCTCTCTTGTCAGCTCAGCAAATTAGAGCTAGACCTGCTTTCCCTCAAGGTCAAGGTCAATCTGGCCAGGGGGATGCTCATGCAATGTCAGAAGACAGGTCACTATCCTGCATTCTCCCTTTGGGGAACAGGAACTGGCACTTCCATTTGTATGCTATTGATATGCAAAATAAGCTTTCTTTCAAGCAAGCCTCTTCCAGAACTTCTGTCCTTATAGTGATGGTCATGTGCTTGGAATATCCAGGTCCTCAAACTCCTCTGCTGTCAAAAGTTATCCACTCCGAGTGGAACAATGGAGTTATTTACCAGAAACATAATTTTAATTTGTATCTTTCAAGAGCATGATCTGAATAGACTTGGCTACTGCTACCTCCTGAAGTTCTGCAAGACAGTGAATGTAGTTATCAGAGGTTGTTTTATTCTTTCTTCAGATAATGGTGAAGGTGTGATATTAAAGGAACATCATAAGATGCAGGGATCTAAATAACTGTAGTCTTTTGTATTCTTATTTGCTTTCCTGAGTCAGGGGAAAGGGAAGGAATTACATCTGATGGCATGCAATGCACAGCAGCTTGGGCTGCTCATGGGGAGAATGTCTGGCATATGACCAGCAACTATATATGTGTTTGGTTAGAAAGAAAAGGTGAGAGTTTCTGCTGTCAACCTTCTAATCTAAAACACGTTGTATGTATATTTAGGTACTGGGAGATTGGGTGAGGGAGAAGTAGGGGATCAGAATCATATCCTCTTCAGATTTAGAGGCCAAATCTAAGAAAGGAATGTGTGCCAAAGTGTTGTGTGTGTGTGTATCTGAATGTATTGTACATGTGTATAAGAGAAAGGGACAGAGAAAAACAGCTGAGATGTTGATCTTTGTCCTCTTGATCTGAAAAGCTGAAAAGAACCCTTACTTTGATTCTCTTTATCTTTTAGCCAAAGCATTTACTTTACCTGATCATACCTACAAATCCTTGTATATTGGAAATACATCTATCATTTGATTGGTGGGCCTCTTTCTTCCATCTCAAACCCCACACTTTGATTTATTTTGGGTGTGAATTTTTTTCTCCTGTCTCATTTCCCCTTTTATTGATTTGAAGATTACATATTCGATTTAAAAGAAAAAAAGTAGGCTCCCAAGCTTCATGTGGAAGAGATTGGATTAGAACTGAAACTGAAAATTATCAGAAGTAATTTACCTTGTATTTTATAGATATAGACTATAATTATATGTTAATTTCTGATCAGGTATGACTTTGGAGAGACATAATTTCCCTCCCTCCCTCCTTTTCTTCCTTCCTTCCTTCCTTTCTTCCTCCTCTCCCTTTATCTCTCCCTCCCTTCTCTCTTTCTTCCTCTTTTCCTCATCCTCTTCTTCCTCCCCTTTCTGCACTTGTATATAATCTCAGGGATTCAATTTTGAACTTCCTACTTGTGAGGTCCTTTTGAAATAAGGATCTGATTGGCGCCATCTTGGCCATGTGGTATATGATAGGGTATTAGATTTAAGTGGCACTATCTTGTCTTCATGGTAGAGTCAAGGAAGTTCCACCCCCCTGGTAATGGGGATACCTGAATTCTTAGAGGCGGGGGGGGGGGGGGGGGGGGGGACTTGGACAATAGATCAGTAGACCTGTCAATCATGTGCTTTGAAATCTCAAGACTCTTGAGTTTCCTGTGACCCTGCCCTCAGACTCTGGCCCTAACTAATCCCACACCCTCTCAGGCACCATTACACCATGCCCTATGCCTAGTGTCTTATGTCTCTCCTCCAGTTAGCATGGTGTCCCATTTCAGCTCTCCATTGGAGTTGATCCAGTTTGTTGGTATTGCTTTTCTTCTCTTCTGCTCTTTCTTTTCTTCTCCTGCCCTCATGGCTCAGTTTTCTAACAATGTTATTGGAGAGGCGACAGGTCTTTGAGACAGGAGCCCACCTGTCTGGCTTTCCAATAAAGATTACCAATTCGACCTCTTAAAATGTGGCTTCTCTGTTTCTTGCGACCGAGTTACTATACAACACTTTTGCTTGTAATTTGTTTTTCAGAGGGGGGGTCTGAAAAGGCCCTGGAAGTCATAATCTTCCTAGTACCTCCCTAGTAGATAGAACCTCTACCTCCCTAGTAGATAGAACCAGATGTGTATCACCACATCTGGCTTGTTTTGTGAAATGGGGTTTTACTAACTTTTGCTCAGGCTGGACTTGAGACAAGATCCCTTCAGTTCTGCTTCCAGTGTA